ACCTGGGACCTTTGAGAAAGCCAGGTGACAGGGAAGGGGTCCAGGGTGACCCTGCAGCCTGGAGTTCCTGTCGTCTTCTGGGGGAGGGTGGGAGCAAGTACCCTAGAGGCTTTGAGGGCAGCCTGTCTCCCCAGGTCACCTTCGTCTTGTCTAAACAGTGCATGTTCACCTGTTCACATTACAAATTCAGGCTCAGCAGCCTGGCCCTGCAGGTGGGTGACTGGGCAGCTGGAGCCAGGCACTGCAGAAAGGGTGCTGGTGGGAGAACTGAAAGGCCCTTCCCTTGTGTTTCTCAGCTTGGATTAGTCTCAGCTGGACCTCTGGGGACCATCTGCTCCTTGCATTTTGGGATGTTCAGCGGATCCAGCATTCTGGCTCTGACCTGTACCTATGAGATGACAGTAGCACTCCCACTTCTCATAATATTGTGTCCACCAAAACTGTCCAAAGACTTTGCCAAGAGTCTCCTGAGAGTTAATGTCCCCTGCTCCATGCTAACCCACAGGTTAAAAATTTATTTAAAAATAAATCCTATTTCATTATAAAATACATGATATTCACCATAGAAATCTTAGGAATATCCATGTCCAGCATGGGGAGATTTGATTTTCATACTTTTGCAATCACACTTGATACAAGTCTGGGGCTCCACATTTTCCTCTTAGTGGGATTCTAATTGATCACAATTTATATTAGTTAACTCTGCGTGTGTCTGCATTACCACCGCTACCCGTTCCATCTATCCAGTTAGTGCTAATGAGAAATCCTGACCTTGCACACTTGGCGGAATCCATGTCAAAGCAAAGAGCTCATTTGGAGCACCTTGAACGGTGTGCTTCGTGGTCTCTGGGCTTCCGGTACTGCAGGGACCCACGCCAGGCACGATTTCCCAGTTTTCAGGGAGTCTTGAATCATGTCATGCCCACTGATCAGCAGCTAACATTTTTCACATGTTGGGGTGAATTCTTATTTTCATCTGAATATGATTCTCATCTGTATTTGATATCCGTGTGTAGTAGAGCGAGACCAGTTTCTCTGAGAAGATGTGCCTCTCTATATGTGATTTATGACTTTTTAGCTCTGGTTTGTTTACATCTGAGGCAGAGCCTCCTGACATGTGGCCAGACGCCCACGGAGCCTTTTAATAGCTGCGTAGGGCCAGGCGGGGCTGAAGGATGCTGCCTGCCGAGGAGGTCCCGGGAGAAGCATCTTACCATTTAGTGTTGCAAGTGCCTTCGCTGAATTATTTATAGCTTGAGGCAAGAATCCTATCACGATTGGCATAAAAATGCATCGCAAAAGGATGATGATTTTGACAAGGAAGACTGAAAGTTTATGCCCAGAATAAAGGAAGTGGGTAAAACCAATACAGAACCCAGTCTGTCTGTGCACAGCTCGTGGGTGGGTGCATGCCATAGCTTCACCCCAGGCTGCAGCAGAGACCTTTGGGACTGTGCCCACAGCTCATAAATGGACCTGTTAACCATTTTAAAGTGTCCAGTCCAGTGGCGTTAAGTACAGTTATGTGGTTATGCAACCATCCCCAGTGTCCAGCCACAGAACCTTTCATCTTGCGGATCTGAAACTGTCCCCATTAAACAAACAACAGCTCTTTTTTTTTTTTTTTTAATTTTCTGACAACCACTATTCTCCTTTGTCTGTATGAATTTGACTCCCTGGAATATCTCCTGGAAGTAGAATCTTGCAGTCATTGTTGTTCTGCATCTGCTGCTTTTACTTGTGGTATCCTTAAAGTTCATTCATGTATCAAGTGTCAGAATTCCCTTCCCTTTCAAATCCAGATGATATGGCATTGTACAGCACATTTTGTGGTTCCTTCATCAGTTGCTGGATATTTGAGTTGCTTCTACCTTTTAGCTGGTGTAAATAATGATGCTATGACCATGAGTGTCCAAATAGCTGTTTAAGTCTCTGATTTCAGTTCTTTGGGGTATAGACATCCAGAAGCAGGATGGCTGGGTCCTACGGTAATTCCATGTTGAAGACTTGGATAAACTGCCTGATGTTTCCTATAGCAACGGCACCGTTTGACATCCCCACTAGCCATATGCAAGGTTCCAGTTTCTCCACAGTGCCACCAACAATCCCCAAGTCCTTTGCTTTATGAGTTGGCATTGAATCTTCTCCGGGTGAAGAAGATTTGCTCATGAGCTTGTCCTCTTTTTTCCAGCCTACGGGCTTATTCTCCATACTTGGTCCGTTTCCAATCTTTTACCTCCCAGCTGTGTGACCTGAAGATGCTCTACTTACTCTGTCTGCTTCCTGGAAATCATTACTTGCTTGGGTCTCAGAAATACCGGAAGTACAAAATGAGGATCATGGTGATTCATTCTTCCAGTATTGAAAGATTCATGTCTGCAAAGTCATAGGTCAAGGCTAGACACCCAGTGAACACTCTGTGAACACGAGTTCTGGGTATGACCGTTTTTATACTCGCTCCATCTTGCTGACTCTGCTGGGACCCACCATGACGTTGCTGGGTGACCAGGCTTAAAGTCACTGTCTTCTCATGTGCACGTTCTTCTTGGAACTTCTTGGTGGGCTCCTGCCTTCTTGCATCCTACCTCAGGCCTTCCCAGGCCCCCGTCTTCACGGCAGGGGCTGGTGGTCATGTTTTCCACCTCTTCTACCTCCACTCGGGCTCTCTAAAACCCTGTCATGGGCTGGGAGTGTGGCTCAGTGGTAGAGCGTCTCCTAGTGTGTGCCAGGCCCTGGGTTCAACCCCAGCACTGCAAAATCAAACAACCAGAGGTGGCCATCTAAAACGACGTCCCAGGCCGTTATCATGAGCTTTTAAAACAACCATGGCTCCTTATGCCATCGCAAATGTCCACCTGATCCTCCTGGTTGGTTTTATTTTTGGATTCAGACAATGTGTGGAGCTCTCTAGCACACCTCTTGTAGAGTGCACCCATTCTGAGGGTCGAGTTCATTGGAGTTTTCTAGAAGCATTCACTGAGCAGCTTCCACCCAGATCAAGCCTTTCCAGGCCCCAGAGAACCCCCTGGACCCTCCCAGCCAGCAATACCTCCATGACCACTGGGCTGACCACTCCCCCAGGGACCTGCTGGCCTTCCAGAGGTTTGACTGTCCTTGAACTTCTCATATTTGGGAAGACACACTGTGTCACATGTCTGCTCTTTTCCTTCTCGTCTGAGTCCCTCCTTCATGCTTTGCCTGTCCCTGTGCTGTGCTAGGTTCCATTGCTTGGTAATATTGCAGTGTGAATGACTTCACAGGGTGGCTGTGTGGGTGGCTGCTGGTGACCCTGGCACTCATTGCTCCTGGGTGTATACCTCAGTGTGCAATTGGTGGGTCACAGGGTAGACTCTGTTCCTTGTTTTATTAAAGAAACTTTGTGGCTATAATGTTTCTATAGCTTCATCGAGGTCTGATTTGCATATATAAAATCCTTTCATGTTAAGTGTACCATTTGATGTGTGTTAATAATTGCCTGCAGTCATTTAATACCACTTCGATCAGGGCTTATCACCATACCACCTACTTCCAAATGCTCTCTTGTTCCCATTTGCGGTCAGTAAGTTGCCTTCTCTAAACTTGCGTCTGGTGACCACAGAAGTTTCTGGAATGATGATCTTCCCTCTTATAGAATTTCATTCTATATGAACCATTCTGCAGGACGTCTCTGGTGTCTGGCTTCCTTAGGTCAGCATACTGCTTTGGAGGTCTCCAAGTCACTGTGTGTCGTCACTGGTAGGAAGGCCACAGGGCCCAGACACTTAGGAAAGCAGGTTAGTTATAAAGCTGGATATATAGTTCCCATACGACCCAGCAATGAGAACTTACATTCACAGTGTGTCCATTCATTTTGAGCTCACAATTTGATGTGTGTTGATAATTGCATGCCATGATTTAATCACCTGCATTATTGTAACAAATATAAACTTTAACTCAATTGTCAATCAAGTGAACTGAGAAACACATTTTGATATGTGCATGCTGGGATACTACTTAGCAATAAAAAGGAATGAATTACAATATTCTATGACATAACAGCAACATGGGAAAACTTATTTCGTTTTTAACATGGGTTTTTCTTATTGCAACAAGAGATGCTCATTGAAAGTAAAGACATAGGTACTCTATATTATAAGCTAGTGGCTGTTTTTCTGCATTTTTTTAATCCATACGTGTTCACAGTCACATACAAGTCCTCCTCCAATGGATAGAAACATTTGTGTCTAACTTATTATCTTTTTTTTTTTTTGATGCGGGAGATTGAACCTAGGAGTGGTTCACCAGTGAGCCACATTCCCAGCCACCCCAGCCCACCCTTAAGTGACTGACTCCTCATCTTTCATAGCTGCACATTATTTCTGTACCTGTAGAGTCAACCACTCCTGTCTTGCCTGACACAGTCATGCTGTATGAACTCTCATGCTCTGGAGCTAGCTAGTTCCTGTTGGAAGAAGTTCACGTCTTGGGCTACTGCAGACTCCTCCTGAAATCCTTGGTGTCAGCAGCAGTTTAGGAAAGAAGACTTTCTCCTACAGCTTTGCAGCCCTGAGTGTTGCTAACGTTGTCAGTTTTTGCCAGTTTTGTTGTCAAAATAGTAGTTGCTGCCCCTGTCCTTACCACCCCCCCCCCACTGCTGCCAGGTGTGTTCTGTGTGTGTGTGTGTGCGTGTACCAGGAAACTAAATGCCTTTTCACATGCATTTTGATGGCTGGTTTCATTTCTTCTCTTATGAATCAGCTGTTTGCATAATTCACTCATTTCCTATTGGATTCCTCTTATTTTCTTACCAATTTGTGGGATTTTTTGGCATATTTTATATATGTTGGAAATATCTTGCCATGCCTTTTAAAAATGTTTATTCAGGTTTAACTATCAACCTTCCCTTTATGACTTATAGTTTTTCTGTCTTAAGTATCTCTGTGCTGTAAGATCATATTAATGATATGATACCTTTCTTTATTTCCTTTTGATTTTTGGATTTTTAAAAAATTCAGCCATAATAAGATGACCATTGAGACCCTTATCTCCTTACTGTATTTAAATGAAATCTCATTGTATACCAAATTCCTGTACACACTTCTTTCCATTTCTGGAGTGCTTTATTTCCATCTACTTATTTATTTATTTATTTATTTTTTGTATGCCAAGAGTCTATGGTTCTGATTTTTGTAGTTTATAGTCATGTTTATTCTCTGGCAGGACAATTGACCCTTGCTTTTCTTTCTGAACACTTCTCATAATTTCTTCACGATTTTTGAAATTTCTTATGCACTCTAACCTTGTTTAGTGCAAAAAGATCTCATGACAATTATGACTGGATGAGACTGATTGATTGATTCAGGGAGTGTACTAGTCAGCTTTTGCGCTACTGTAACAAATAACGTGAAAGAATCAGCTTAGAAAGAGAAAAGGCTTATTTGGGCTCATGGTTTTGGAGGTTCCAGTTCAGGATTCGTTAGGACTGTTTTGGGGGGAGACCTGGGTTGAGGCAGGACATCATGGTGGCAGTGTATGGCATTGTCCACCTCATGGCTGGCATGCAAAAGAGAGGCAGAGGATGGGACTGGGGTCCCCATACCTCATCAGGGGCCTGAGAGCATCCACTAATGACCAGAAGACCTCCCACTAGGCTGACCTCCTGAAGGTTCACCACCTCCCAGGAGCACCAGCCGGGACTGGTCAGCTGTGGACCAATCCTATACAGCACAAGGGCTTTGGGGGTCACTTAGGCAAACCAGAGCAGGAAGAATTTGCATTGAATGTTCTGTCTTTATGTCTGGGACATGGTTTCCACGTATTCAGGTCTTGCTTTGCATCTTTTGATAAAACTCGGTGCTTTTCTTTGCGCAGTCTGTGTCTGACTTGTGAGGCTGGTCCACCCAGGTCTCATGTGGTTTTGTCCTGTGTGCATGAGGATCCTGTCTTTCACTGCCGTTACCTTCCTTTCAGAGTAAAAGTTCTTCCTTGTTCCCCTCTACATCACCAAACCCTCCTGTTAGTACCTAGTAGATTTTTTTCCCCTTAAATTTCTTTAGAAAGATCACCCCCTCCAGCATGTAGGATGCTACCTCTGGGCTTTCTTGC